TTTCTTAGCTTCGGCGGATAACCAGCTGTGAACATGCGACACAGTGTGAATGATAGAGCTATTATATGTTGTAAGTACATCTTTAACCTTCGTTGGAGAGATTTCGGACGCTGCAAAAGGCGACAACTCTCAATATGTCGGAACGATGACAGAGTGTCCTCTCGAGCATTGCCATAATCTTATAGCCGCTGTAACGGCGATTTCGGCTCGGCGATAACGCCCTGACTTTCCTTTTTGAGACCGGCTATGGTGGACGGCCTGCCTAATATGGATTATCACCACCCGCGCGGACTGTCTATTCTGACGGTATTCGGCCTAAAACACTGATTCGTGCATTGTACATGCACCCTATGCTTTCTTCACTCAGCGATTTTTTGTAAGGTAGATCACATACCAAGGACATCTCAAACCTAAATTTAAGCAAGTTGGGCGAAGGAAAAATATTCCACACGCGTTGCACAAAAGTCTGTCTATTCTGACGATGAATCACAGTAAATCTTTCCGTCCACGATACGTCATGTAATGTACGACCTTTCTTCTTGTTTTCCCGCTTTCTCTATTGTCCTCCTCCTACAATGCCTATCCTCCCTCTCGTTGCGTCCGACGTCGTTTCAACGGGTGATGCCGGAGACCATGTCACGAGTGCCTACTTGAGGCAGTACTATGATTTCGGTACCGTCCTCACGGTATCTGATTTTGCTCGGTTGCGAAACGATCGCTTTTGCGTCACGGTGTCATCTACGTCCGTATGCTTCTTGATTGAAAACTATCAGTTCATTTCGAAGGACAAAATGCGGCTCTTATGTCAGCGCCACGGTGTTTCTCATTTGGTTGATGACAGGCTGTGTTGGCTACGCGACTTGTTGCGACTCCATTCTTGTGGTGAGGAGTGTTCCAATTTCGTGTACGTTTTCTACCGTTCAAAAACTGAATGGAGACGTTTCGGCCATGTCATCCTTCCGTCCCCTTTTGAATCGCTTAAAGGCAGGGAATGTAACGCGGAACATAAGCGCTTAAGCGCCGGCGTATTCGGGACTCGCTAGCTGCTGAGTCGATCGAAGCTGGTGAGCGTCGTAGGGCGAGGAATGCAGAATTCCATTCTCACGCCAGAAAGCGCAACAGCGACGTGTTGTTTCCACCAGTCGTGGATTCCACGTTGGAAGCTGATGTCATAAGACAGTGGCAAAAAACTCTAACGCGGATAAAAGGCTTCGAGACGTCTGTTGTGTATGCGGGCAAGACGTGCCCGTCTCTGACATAACGTTGGCGCAGTTTGATGACATGCCGTTGCACTTGTTGCGAAACCCTCTGCTTCCCGACAAATGTTTGCCAGCAACTTATGACTTTCAGCTGTACGAACGCGCTATCTTTCATCCAGACGGTTTGATTCATCGTAGTAGCCGTGGCGGAATGAAGACATGTAGTCGATGTCGCGGCGACCTCAGTGCGAAAGTGGCTCAGATGCCAAAACATGCTCTTGCTAATTTTTTGTACTATGGTCATGACAGTTTGCCAGAAGATGTCTTCCGCGCTTCAAACAACGTTCCTGCAGGCGGCAACGGAATGCCATCGTTACCATGGCAGACCTTAAAAGTTGGAGATGCGGTTCACGTGGATGCTCGTTTGCGTCGGGTAGAAGTGAACGAAAACGGGAAGATGCGCACTAAAGCGCGCTTTGAATTACTACAGCTCGATTTACTCAGTCATGCTCCGCCCACTGCGACTTCCAGTGGCTCTTCCGCTTTTATCAACTTGTGATTCTTTTACCATTCGCGGATTTGGTCTCATCCCTTGTCCCTTTTTTTTCGCGTCATTCCGCTTGCTTGCCTGATCACATATAATAGTTTTCAGTGTATGATTGCCGTCTTCTTGTACACGCATGAAAATAATGGATTTTGTGGACTGTTATCACGTGCACTGATATTAAACCGACTTTATTTAACCGATAATCCGGATCCAGGCTCGCCCGGAGGGCCTTGTTTTTATTACTCGTATATCAATTCCTGGATCCGAAGGAAGACAGCTTTTACTACCGGGATGACTGGACCGCCAATATTTAGGGTTGCGATCGGACGGAGTTTGAATCACTCCTATTCGTGTTTTTCGCGCGTTGGTTCTCGTTCGCTTCCCCGTCATGTCTATTCTACCCTTCGTTGTATCTGATGTCGTGTCGCCGCTCGGCAGCGCACACGTTACGAGTGCCTTTCTAGGGCAATACTATGATTTCAGCGCCGCGGTTTCGGCACTTGAGGCTGGTCAAACTCGACTTCAACGGTTTGCCGCAGTGTAAGAAAAGAATGGCGCGCCAAGTCAGATTGGCACGCCAATTGGCGAGGGTTGTGGTAGTGCCGCCATTGCCTGGTATGGCAGGTAGCGTGAGACGCGGCGGCCCGGCGAGAACCAGTCCTGCCTGGGGCAGATAGGTCATACGGAGGGGTTGGCGAGCAAAAATGGCAAGGGGCCGGCGATTTAGCAGCTATCACGTGACACGGTCTGGCTGCTGAGGATGAAGGAGAATCCAGAACTTTTGGTGTCGGCGTGTCGGCTAGGTAACGGCGTGTCGGCGACGTGTCGGCGCGATCGTGGCTCGTTGAGTGTCATCTGGCAGGCCACATTAGAATTAACTCAGACAATGGCTCTCGTCATACTACTAATTAGTCGGACAGGATATAAATGATGACGCTCATTATAATCTATGTCATCATGTCATTTATAAACGGCACAGTAGTGTAGCATGTAAGTGTAAGGGTTCTTGTCATCGAGGCTTGCGTTCGATTCAGCATTTAAGCCGTTTTTTGCGAGCTGCGGGGAATTTTTTGGCATTCAACAACAAAGTCCAAAGCCGACGTCAATGTCCACTCAATATCACGCGCAGATCTCGGATTATTCGTCTGAAACATGATCAAACACTGTCCTGGTTCAATCCTACAGTCATAAAGGTGTTCTGATGAAATAAAACAAACAGAAATAAATCAATGTAACCACAGAAGGTGGACAAGTGGCTATCTTGTGCTCGGTCAGGTTCAAAACTGTCCTGCCGTCCAAAGCCAAACCGCCACCCATGCCAAGGTCAGGGAGGATGACAAAGTCGTGGTGCATGAGCCGAGATTGACCGATGATTAGGCTGGCAATGAAATCCTGGACC